TTTTTTTTTTTTTTTTTTTTTTTGGTGTAGTTGTAAGTGGGATTGATTTCTTAATTTCTCTTTCTGCTGCTTCATTTTTAGCGTATAGAAATGCAACAGATTTCTGTATGTTGATTTTGTATCCTGTGACTTTACTGAATTCATATATAAGTTCTAGCAGTTTTTTAGAGGAGTCTTTTGGGTTTTCTCTATGGAGTATCAGACAGTTTTACTTCCTTGCTGATTTGGATACCTGATATAAGTGAGATGTTAAAATTCCCTGCTATTACTGTGTTATTACCAATTAGTTCCTTTATGTTTGTTATTGTTTTATATATTTGGGTGCTTTCATGTTGGGTGCATAGATATTTACAATTGTTAGATATTCTCGTTGGATTGTCCCCTTTATTATGATATAGTGCCCTTCTTCATCTCTTGTTATGGTCTTTGGCTTAAAGTCTAGTTTGTCCAGTATAAGTATTGCTACTCTGGCTTTCTTTTGACATCCATTTGTGTAGTAAATATTTCTCTTTAAGTCTAAAATGAGTCTCTTGTAGGCAGAATATAGATAGGTCTTAACTTTTGTTTATCCATTCTGGCAACCTCTGTCTTTTGATTGGAGCGTTTAGTCCACTTCATTGGAAGGGATTATTGATAGAAAATGTTTTGATAAACTCCATAAAACTCAAATCATAATTTATTGTATGCTGGTCTTTTTACATCTGACCATAATTGTGCTTTCCAAGAAAGTTATGGAAGTCACTTTGATAATTATTTCTTGAACTTGTGATTTCTTTTAATATTAAAGATCTATCACTCTATAAAAAATTTTTATTTAAGCTAAAATAGAATTCTGACCAGAATTTCACTAGAAATCAGTTAACTTAATGGATTGACTCTGTATTTTAAAACCTTAGATGGATCCCCAAATCTTTATTCATAATCATAATTTCAAAGTGCATTTCTTTTAGACTATAAAATTATATTTATAAATATATTTTATAAATAAATACATTTAGGGGCGCCTGGGTGGCGCAGTCGGTTAAGCGTCCGACTTCAGCCAGGTCACGATCTCGCGGTCTGTGAGTTCGAGCCCCGCGTCAGGCTCTGGGCTGATGGCTCGGAGCCTGGAGCCTGTTTCCGATTCTGTGTCTCCCTCTCTCTCTGCCCCTCCCCCGTTCATGCTCTGTCTCTCTCTGTCCCAAAAATAAATAAAAAACGTTGAAAAAAAAATTTAAAAAAAAAAAAATAAATACATTTATGTATTTATTGAAACCCATAACACATTGGCTAATCTTTCCTGTGGTACAGTAAGTACCCAGACAGATACTGCTTTATTTTTTATTTGATGAACTTCTACTTCTATAAACTTTAATGTTCTTTTATTCTAGGGAATAATGCTTCAATACATATAGAGGTTGACCCCAAGCATCCTACTATGCTTCCTGAGTGCTGCTTTCTTGGAGCTGACCATGGTATGAGATCTCCTATTTAAATGTTTTTAACAGTCATAAAATTCTTGTCTTTCACTGTTAAAATATTCTAAAATACTAACACATGGTAATTATTTTAAATGAAAATGTTTCATCATTCTGAACTGTGTAGTTTTGTGTTTTTTTAAGTAGATGATTTAGATTTTCCAGTCAAATAATTAGCAAATTCTGTGTTTTAACAAGAGAGTATATTACAGAGTTGCTAAGAGATCTTAGAAGTTTTCATCAGAAAATAATTTGTAACTACATGTGGTAATAGGTATTAACTGAATTTGTAGTGATCATTTTGCAATACACACACATACCAAATCATGATGTTGTACACCTAAAAGTAATACAATATTATATACCAATTATATCTCAGTTAAAAAAAAATTCCGTGCTAAATGTGGCTTTACAAAGCGAGAGCTGCAGACACTACATTTTTAAACGTTTTTTTTTTTTTTTTTTTTTTTTTTTTTTTTTTTTTTTTTTTTTTTTTAATCTCTGAAGTGGTAAAACCTCTTGGAATTAAGCTGAGCAGGAACATACATTTGTGGTAGGTATTTTTTGTAACACAATGTTTATTTTTCTATTATTTTGCAAATTTAATAACAATTTTTTTTCATGCTTTTAGGGATCCAGAAAATAGTCTGTTACAAAATTTGAAAGATGTTTTAGAAATAGATTTTCCAGCTCGCACTAACCTGGAAAAATCTGTAAGTTTTATGAGTGCTTTGATATTCCAAACAGCATAGCATAATGAAAGTTAAATGTTCTTCTTTTAGACACCAGAGAAAAATGAGGCTGAAAGGGAGGGAATTGGAAGAATATTGTAACAGACTTCTGAACTGCAAGCAACAGTAGCATCAAAGAATTTGTTAACCTTTGATTAGTGGTTTAAGTATACTTTTGTCATGGTCTTTGTAGCAATGAAGTGATTAATGACAGACATCTTTATTATTAGAAATAGGGGGAAAGGTCCAAAGTAGCTAATGAGATGTTTGGATATTCTAATACTATCTGCTTATGGATGATTGAAATAAAGTTTTAATTAGCTTGATGTATTTTGTGAAGGATGGCAGTACAGTTTTTGAAAATGAATAGATGTTACTGTGTTGCAAAAATGATAAACTTGGAATTGAGTTTTGATAAAGTTGCAGAGGTTGTAGACTATTAAAGTGGTGGGAATGTTTTTGTCTTCTTCCTTTAGTTAAAGAATTTTGAAGTTTAGTAATCATTAGCTAATGTCAGTTAGTATCTTTATATATTACATTGGCATAATATTGATGTACAATGTGGGAAATTTACTTAAGCCCCAAATAGAATCTGCTTTTAGTATATCTATGTGTATTACTTACTGGATGAAAAAGGAAGGACTCTCACAAATCGCTTTTCTGAAGTGTTAAGCAGTGATGTAACTGTATTTTCTGTAAAGAATGCTATAGTTACCTTTATGAAAACTTTGAATGAAAATTTGATCTTGTCTATCCCATATTATTCTTACATTACCTTGTGTGTTTTAAACACTTGTGCTTATAAATATTTCTTCTTTTGAAGGATTTTTCTATGGATTGTGGCATTTGTTATTCATATCAACTTGATGGTGCCATTCCTGATCAAGTGTGTGATAATCCTCAATGTGCACAGCCTTTCCATCAAATATGCTTATATGAGGTAAAAAATAAAAATAACGCTGTTAAGACTTTTTTGGCTACCATGACCTAGCAAGTCTGCATGTTGAAATATACAGAATCCAAAATCTGTTTAAGTGAATAGCAATCTCTTTTTTCCATTAGCTTCTTTACCAGTCCATTTCCAGATGCCCGTGTGCTTTCATTTCTTCATCCTGGTTACTAATGAGTGAATAAATGTCCTAAAGTAGTATCCTAGGAAGGGAGAAAATGTATCCAGAATATATTCATGGGCTGCTTACTGATGCATAACAGATCAAATTGATGCTACATTGGAATCTTTCAGTGAAAATCTCATGTGACCACAGTGCAAACTGTCACTCATCCAAGTGGGAGTAGTAGTGGTAGCAATCAGGTGAAAGGGAACTGGCACTAATGAGTGTCTGTTACTTTTCAAAGTATATTTAAGTATAGAATAAATGTAATAATCTTACTTTTGATATTGAGAAAAATGCGTTTTGTGATCTGGATATGTCACGGCACTCTCAGTGACATTTTATTTATAATTTACTATCTGTGAAGTCTGCTTTCATTCCTGTGTATAGTCATTTGATCTCTACAGCATTCATCTTAGGGCACAGTTGACATGATTATATATGCATGTATATATGAAACACCTTGCAGTTGTATAGTGCGTTCAGTCTTCTCGAATATCACCTCTTGTTTTTGTGATTAGAGGTAGCAAGCAGTTGGTGTTACCTGCACTTTAAGAATGGAGAACTTAGAGATGTCAATTCACCTTCTATAAACTCACAAAATACCAGGTCTAATTATAGAGATACTCTTAAGGGAACATGTGCTTTCTTTTATAATAATGAATATTCATTTAATTTTTAAAAATGGACTGCCTCATCTTTATAATTAGTGGATTGAGAATTAACCCACTATTGGTGATTAAGACCAGAATTGAGACCTAAATTTTCACAAGCTTACAGTATCTTTTACAGCAAGAGTTCTTAATTTGTAATTAATGACTTCAGGTCAGGTCTGTGAACCCCATTGACTTGTGTACATTATTTTTGTGTCTATTTTGGATGTTGAGAAAATGCATAAAGGGGCCCATAATTTGGCTATAAACCAGTGTTATAGATCTCGAAATTCGTGGTAGTCTCCCCTTGTTATTCAGCATACTACTAGTCTGGTATTGGCCAGGAAATGTTCCCCTTACTTTTTGTAAAAGAAAATTAAGAAGGTAAATCTTTTGGAATAAGAATATATGTAATCATAAAGGAAATGAATTTAGAGTATCTGTAATGTGTAATCATGCTGACATTGCTCCCTTTTTCTTCTCTTTTTAAAATCTTCAGTGGTTGAGAGGACTGTTGACTAGTAGACAGAGTTTTAACATCATATTTGGTGAATGCCCATATTGCAGTAAGGTAAGGAAATCATTAATCAAATTTCATAAAATACGCCTGGCTTTTAATAGTGTGCTTTGGAAGATAGATAAGTATACAGTATATCAGCTTATGCAAAACTTTTTGTTACTTCTGTTATTCTATGTGGTAAGAAAAAAAAAAGGGTAAAATTGTCCCTGTCAGTGACATTTTGTTTTTTAAATTGCTCCTTTGATCAAAAAAAGTTATTTTTCAAACTGTATCATGACACTGTTTTCTACAATAAAGCAATCTTATTTTTTAGAATGTCCACAAACTTACTTTGTTAAATTGTATTCTCTTTTTACAAGCCAATTACCTTGAAAATGTCTGGGAGGAAATCCTAAAATAAGAATGTAACATTTCTGTGAAGAACTGGCAGCCTTAAGAATTATCAAAAGGATTTTATTTGATATCTTCAGAGAAAGTATAAAGTAAGACCTACTAAAATCAAAAGAAAAAGAACGATAAAGCCATAATAATACACGTCAGTAACTGTCTCTTCATTGAGAGTAGAGTCTCTGACCTCCATTCCGGTTGGAGAAGTATATGTATACCAAGATGAAGATCTTGAATTGTCGAGTATATACGGACTGATAAAATCTTGATATGGTTTGTAAAGTGAATTTGGGAACTGTATAGAGCTCCGTTTTTGTGGAGAACTGTTTCTTTCATTCAGAATTTGAGACTCACAGTACTTTTGTCTTCTCTTTGTGCTTTCCTGTGGAAAAGTATATATATTGTGTTAGGTCTGAGTTATCCTTATACTGTGTACTCTAAGAGTTCTAAATAAAACATGTTACACAAAACGAACAAATTTTTTGCATATTCTTCCTGAGAAGTTTTTTATAAAGTACTTATCCCATTAACCAACCCAAATCTAGTTAAACTGATTGGTTCTTTTAAATCAGGCAATAGGCCATCTTATAAATAATTTGTCCTCTAAAAATACAACGAACTATGAAACCTGAATTTTCTTGGCAAGACAAATCTTATGTGGGCAAGATAGTCACGATTAGAAAGCTTTTTGGTTATTAATATTAGTGATTCTGAGGCAGCCGTGGCAGCAGAGTGAGATGTTGGTGGCAGTGCTGCACGTCCACAGAGCAGCCTCGGTCCAGCAGCCTTCTGCCTGGATTCCAGAGAATGACATCTCCCAATAACAGACCTTAAGAAGAAAGTTGGTTAAAATCCTTATTTGTCCTGAACGTTGATCCAAGAAAAGATGCTCATTTCCTAGCCAAAAAGGAAAAAGTCTCCACAGATTACAGTTTTGCAATGTTAAACTGGAATGCCTAGAAGCATACGACAAAATTTGTCAGAGGATGTTGCCAAAGACTCAAGAAGATCAACATGACCCTTGTTCTTTGGTGGGGACTTAGAACACACTGTTTGGAAAGCAGCGTCAAGCTGTCCACCCGTGGAGGTATGAAGGAGGATATCATTATAAATAAACCTCCGAATACCCTCAGAGAAAATCAGGTATTTGTGAAATTCCATAAAGCAAGAAGCAAAATACCTATTTCTAAGAAGAATCAGCTGTTACTAGAATTCAGTTTCTGGAGTGAGCCTGTCTCACGGAGGGCCTGATATATGTGAATTCAGAGCCTAGAACTCCCACAAGGAGCGGTGATTACATAGGGCAGTTATTGTTTAGCCAAACAAAAAAACAATTTTCCCCCAAACTGATCTATAGATTCAACACTGTCCCAGTCAAAATCCAATCAGGCTTTGGAAATGCAGTGGACCCAGAATAGCTAAAACAACCTTGACAGTCAAGAACAAAGTGGAAAAACATACTTTACAATTTGAAAACTAATCACAAAGCTAGACTAATCAAGACAGTATGGTCCTGGCACAGGGACAGGCATACAGATCAGTGGAATAGAATTGAAAGTCCAGAAGAAAACTCTCACATACATGAGGAATTGGTTTCCAACAAATGTACGAAGGCAATTCAATGGGGACAGGTAATCTTCAACAAAGGTGCAGAGACAACTGGACATCCTTGTAAAAATATAAATTTAGACCTACTTCATTTTGTACAAAAATTGACCAGAACCAAATTGTAAATGTAAATATAGCTGGAATTTAAAACTTTAAGGAAAAAAAAAACCAAAAAAAACAGGAGAAAATCTGTGATCTAGGGTCAGGTAAAGTGTTCTCTATAATATCAAACGTACAAAAGCAAATAAAAGTTTACATAATTGAAGGACATCATTTAAAAAAATCAAAGACAACTCACAGACTGGGAGAAAATTCTGCAAATCATTTATCTGATAAAGGATTTGTATCCAGAATACATAAAGACTTGAATAGACAGTTCTCTGAAAGCATATGAAAAGATGGTCAACATCACCAATTGCAAGAGAAATGCAAATCAAACTATAATGAGATATCATCTTACCCTTTAAGGCCATTATCAAAAGAACAGAAAATAACAAATGATGAAGATACAGAGAAATTGGAACCCTTGTGTACTGTTGAGAGGACTGTAAAATGGTGTAGCCATTATGGGAAACAGCACAGAAGTTCCTCAAAACATTAGAAGTAGAATTACCATATAATCCAGCAATCCTACTTCCGGGTATATATTGAGAACTCAAGTGTCTTGAAGAGATATAGGTACACCCATGTTCATCATAGCATTATTCACAGTAGCCAAGAGGCAGAAGCAACCCAGATTCCTATGGGCAGATGAATAAAGAATATATACATATAATGGATTATGCAGCCTTAAAAAAGGAAATCCTGCCACATGCTACAATATGGATCAATCCTGGAGGACATTCTGAAGAGCAAATTAAGCCAGTCACAAAAGGACATCTATGATTCCACTAACACGAAATATCTAAAGAAGTCAAAATAACAGAAACAAAAAGGTAGTTGCCAAGGTAGAGGGTAGTTGGTCTAAAGTTTCAATTTTGCAAGATGTAAAAGTTCTAGAGATCTTTTGCACAACAGTGTGAATATACTTGGCACTACTAAACTACACGGTTAAGTTTAATGTTACTTGCTTTTTACTACAATAAAAAATAAAAATAGTCATTCCCAACCTTTATCATGACATGGAACCCTTTACCTGACCTACATGCCATATATTGGATAAAGGAATTGGCTGTTCACAACCAGAGGAAATTGCCTCAGGGTGGATACTGTGGCCTGTCTCATAGAAAGCTCTGGGAACAGACCAACCACTGTAGACTGAATATTATTGATATATGCAAGTTCCAGGAATTTCTTACACCATTCCTATTAGCCAGAGCTCTTAATCAGTTTCCTGCTTTAATCTTAACTGGTTACGAGTTGTTCTGTTTCTGCTTCACTTTGGTGACCTGCCCTGCCCTGTCCTTGTACTATTTATCAAGTAACTTAGAAGGAAAAAATTAAAAAACAAGGCAAAATATTTCAATCTTCAACCATCTGATGTAATACCATCATTCTTCACAATAGCTACTTTCTTGACCTCTTCAAAGAGCCTTTTTTACCCCCCTGAAAGTCACTTTCAGGATGCAGTTTTAGAAGGCAAGAAGTAATTACCTTCTACATAAGGTATACAAAACCAAATAGAGGTCTTGAAGGAAGGCCCTTTAACTTTTCTACTTAGAAGAAATCATTGGAAGTCAAATAACTAACTTTAAGCTACTCTTTACTGCCTGAGAGCTAATAAAGACACACTATCCCAATTGTCCTAAAGTTTTCTCAGCTTTAGAGGTGCCTAGCTGGCCCAGGGTGTATAGCACGTGACTTTTGATCTCAGGGGCATGAGTTCATGCCCCACATGGGTGTGGAGCCTACTTTAAAAAAAAAAAAAATTGTCAGCTTTATTTGCTAAAGGCAAAATAATTACTCCTGTGGCCCCCTAAAGCATTGTTCTCCCACAAAGAAAAAGAAATATGCCATCAAATTTTATATTTTTAAAGACGGAGAGCCACTAGTTAGCTAACAAGTAGCATTTACATATAATAACTTACATGTAGAAGTAGACAATGTCCCCATCCAGGTAAGAACAGAAGTCAAGCTACTAAAATTTCAAGGTTGGTTACACACTAGAGAAGTCTGTGTACCTAATCTCTCTTTAAGCAACAACTGATATCAAATGGGAAGGCCCTCATCTAAGGATTTAACCACCAGTTGTCTTCGGCTTACTGAGAGATCTGCTTGGGAAAGATAGTCTATGGCATAGGTTGTAAAATGTTGTGAGTTGCCTGTTTTGTGAATAAAGATTGATTGGAACACAGCCACACTCATTTGTATTTTACTGTGTATGGCTGCTTTTATACTGCAATGGCAGAGTTGAATTGTTTCTGACAAAGGCTAGGCTGTAAACCCAAAATATTTACCATCTGGCTCTTTACGAAAAAGCTTTCTGGTCTATGGCATAGTATTTCAAACATTAGAAAAAGCGTACAAATCATTTTGGGATCCTGTTAAAATACAGATTTCAGGGGAGCCTGGGTGGCTCAGGTGGTTAAGCCTCGACTTTGGTTCAGGTCATGATCTTGCGATTTGTGAGTTTGAACCCCACACTGGCCTCTTCTGTCAGTGCAGAGTCTGCTTTGGATCCTCTGTCTTTCTCTCAAAAATAACAAACATGAAAAATACACGTTTCATTCAGAAGGTCTAAGATAAGACTTAGATTCTGTGTTTCTAAGAAGCTCCAGGTGATGCCAGTGCAGCTGGTTGGCACAGCAGACTTTTAGTAGCAGAGGCTTAAGGCATACAATAATCCTAGTCAGTATAGTGTTTCTGAACCTGGGACACTTGTGCTCCATAGGACATTTAACAATTTCTGGAGACATTCTGGGTACTACAACTGGGAGGAAGTACTATTGGCATCTACTAGATAAAGGCCAGAGATGGCTTACAGTGTACAGAACAGCCAGCTCAGTAAGCCCAGAGTGGTGCTGCTGAGAAACCTTGAATTCTGAGCAAGTTATTAACCTTGAATGCACGTCAGAGTCAATTAGGAAGCTATGAAAAATACCAATACCCTTTTTAGTTCTAGCCATGAATAATGGGCATCAGATCTCCCCTCCTGCTGTGAAAAGCCCATGAAATGAATACAAACCAGAGTTGGACAAAATATATGAAGGAACTTATCACACAGAGAAAACAAGGCTGTGATTCTTGAGGAAAGGAAAACACCCAGACTGATAAAGGCTACGGTTGCAGATGATCTTTACCTTAGCCCAGCCTTCAAAAAGCCTAAATGAAGTGAAGACATGACTAATCAAGTTGAACCACCAATAAATTATTTGTCTGCCAGAACAAAAGTCAGTACTCTTTAAAGGAATACAATAAAATGTGGAGTTTCAAGAACTGACTAGCAGCCACGATATTCAGCGTATAATAAAACTTTTACGACACACAAGGAACAGGAAACTGTGACCCATAACTAGGAGAAGAAGAGAAATAGATGTGACCCAGATGGTAAAATTATCAAACAGGGACAATAAAACCACTACATAAGTATGTTCAAGGAATTAAATATAAAGTTAAACATAATTAGTGAACAGATCGAGAGACTCAGCAGAGAAATGGGAAATATAAAATGCTTCTAGAATGGAAAAATACAATAAATGAAGTTAAACATCCACTGGTTAAATAGGTAGAGACCAGGCAAAGGACCAGAATGAAGCACAGCAAGATAAAAGACTAATTTGAAAAACGAACAGAGCCTCTGAAAAGGCCTGAGAGAAGGTAGACAATTCTAACTGC